ACTCAATCAGGCTCCGCTCTGGAATGTTCTTCCAGACACAGTAGCAGTAGTATGAACTTAATTCACTTACTTTATGTAAAAATGTGTTCACTGACGCACAAGAAAAAAAAATCCTAAATCACAGCTTTTATTTAGACTATTCCACAGTTCAATAGCCATTTACATTCTGAAATACGTATTAAAATATTAGATGTTACATATATTTGAATGTCCACTTTTTATTTTAATATTACTATTCTGGACAGCATAGGCAGTCCCATACCCTATTTTGGGGGGCTTCCACTATTTCTTCAGATTGATAGTGGCAACCATTCTGTGGGCTGAGCCCCCCTATGGGCCAAACCCTAGAATCACCCTTCCTGGGCAATGGACAGGAACATCCCCTGACTATGTAGATAGATAAGCAGACAGTGAAATTCTTTATCAATGTTGCTTAATTACATGAAGCACTGGTAGTGTTAACATGGTCAACAAATTCCTTACTGCTGGCAGTGATGCTGAAATGCTGTCAGGTAACTGATGAAAGAAAATTATGACAAAGGCAGGCCTCTCTCATACATCACCATAGATTACCGCCGATGCTTCACTGGTTTATTGAAAAAGCGCCAAATCACTGTCCATCTGTTAGTCAGCCTATTCCTACTCATATGTAACGCCATGAACAACAGGCTGAGATTTAATAACCAAACAGCTGGACTAGTTTGATCCACGGTATGCCCACCACCACCGCATACCAGTTCCAGGAGACATCTGAATGAAGTTCATAGGTAGGGAGGATAGCCTTCATCAAACAGTAGTATACTAAAGGGCCTATTCTATTCAGATTGACAGGAAGTAAAGTAACTAATAGTGTTGTCTGGGTTGTTAACATATTGAATTATTACAGCATACAAGGCAGTCACTGAAAATATGCTTCACATAATTATATGTGTTTATGACACTATACGTCAAATAATTTACCTTTATGCTCTAATTTATTTTGCATTTCCCCCAGTTTCAGAAAATATTGTGCTTACTTTGATTATCTGTAAGGATGTAATATCCCCCAAGAAGAATGAATACGGACGTATACGGGTATAAAGGATGAAACTGCTAGCGGATTATTCTGGTAACACCTGCGCGTTAACATGGAAAATCATGGTTACTGTTCTTAACAGTTAATAAAAGCTTCCAAGTACTCCTTACGTTTTCATTTATATTTCTTTATGTCTGCTTATAAGACATAAGTTATTATATGTAGGCCTAGGCTACTAGCTAATAACCACTGAGCATACACATCGATAAAAGAACCTGTGTCTAAATAAATGAGCCGACCGAAGATCTAAAAATTATTCTACAACAGAAGTGACCCTTTATGCACAATGACGGATCTTCCGAAGGAGACTTGTCTTTCAGATAAATAACGATCTATCATAATAACCGCTTGGTGTAACAATAAAAAACGCTTAGTTTTGCATTATGTGGATTGAAAGTCCAACTAATACGCGTCATAAACAAGACTTCAAATCTTACCATTAATTATTTGAGTCAGCCCCTGTATTTTATTGCACCATTATGTTTGTGAGAGCACTAACTCCGTTAAAGCTGATGCAGCTTATTGACTATTTTACTGAGGCTGTTTGATTAAATTCAAACGTTCGTTGCCAGCGTAACTGTGTTACTGTGTAACGGTGGTTTCCGTTTAGCGACACCTTCAGTTAGGTTGAAATGTGCAAGAAATCGGTGTGAAGCTTGAGGAGGAGCACGGGTGACAAAATGCCTAGTGTTTCAGATACCCGTTATTCGGTTAGTGGCAGAATGTCACCGTTTGCACCTTCAAGCTCAGGGGAAACAGGAAACACGAACATTTAAACCAAACACAAGTCATATAGCTGGACAGCAATCGAGAACAGATAAATAGGATGTGAATGACAGCAACGTGAAACACTGGCATATGCTTCCTGCGAAAGATCTGTAGCCAAGACAGCACACTCATAAACCACAACAGTTGCCAAGTCGCCACCTGGATCAAAATCGCCACTTCTCAAACTAGATGGTTTGTCACAAAATGCGGGAAAATCACCATCTCTGACACTTATACTGTCGCGGATATATTTTCAGTGCTACCACAATTAACGTCAGAAAGCGCTTTGTTGGGATTATGTAAATCATTTTGATGTAAAATGGCATTGAATAAGCAGCGACATTCACATAGTTAAAAGGTGTAATCTCGTTTTCACGCACATATTTCGAATATAGTACAGTTAGAAACTATTGCAAAATTGAATCACACCTGCAAGGAAAACGTGTAGGATACATCAAAGAGGCTATTTGACACAATGCATACATAGAAAAACTGATTTGATCGAAGCAGGGCTTTTCCTAATGTAAGATCTTTATTTAAAAATGTATTTATTTAACCAGTGGGAGTTGTGAAAAAAATGTGCTACACAGTGGAAAAACTCCAGTCGGGCTCCTACTGGAATCTTTTCGTCAAGTAAAAGGGCAATATTGTAAACAACACAAAAGACCTAGATATAGACGAATAACAGTCAATATTGAAAGAGTAATATTTACCTATTTTGTACGTCACTTTGGACAAAAGCGTCTGCTGAGTAAAATCAATGTAAATGGGATATAAAATATTCCTGTTTACTTATTAAGGTGAATTATGATAACCTCGCATTAGTACATTAATAATTTGAAAAACGCAATCTCTGCTACTCAGATTCTGAAATTAGTGTGCATCTTGATATACTGAACAGGTTACACACAGGATACTGCACGAATGTACTTTAGTCAATGTTTAACTAAGACAGTTGACCACCGCCGATTCCCTGTTGTGTGCTTGCAAATTAACTATCTACTGCGTAGTCGGCGCCAGTGTGCATTTATCACACCCATGAGGCAGCCGGGTAAAGACTGGATGGTCTAACAAATCGCTGCATCTGATCCGAGGAAAATCTGATACGGACAATAATTTGTACGGTTTGTCTTTTCCTCCACAGGACAGTCACAATTGTTTTCTCACTTTTAATGAAGAGTATAAGATTAATAAACAGGAGTTACATATTAAAACGCATTGACCGTGATATGTTGAACAAACAACTTGCACTTTTGCGTCTTAAAAGACAAAAGCCAGTGCGTTAACCGTTCAATAACAGAAAGGCAAAACGACACACACATTCTGTGATTTCATCCCTCCAATGAATAACTGAAGATCTTGAGAGAAAAGTTGATCTAGTTAATTATTTAACATATTTTTAATAATCGGTCCACCTCACCTCTGACAACGCAAGCTAATAAATAAAGGCCTTTGTACATAAGATTTTTGGCGTAAAAGTTGAACGTCACTGGCAAGGAATCAGACACCCTCAGTCGAAAGGTTGTCACCAGCGCGAAGTGCGGAGGGCCTGTTCCCTTTAAGTGCTCTCCTTGATATCTAAAAACGTGTTTTATTGCACTTCTGGTCTCCGCATCATCACACTAGCATGCAGGCACATTGTGGTGTGAACGGGACGGAGACGCTTCTGGTGACTCACCGTGGGAGACGATATGTCCACACAGAAAGGCTTTAAACAAATTAATGCCAGCTATAGACTCACAAAGATAGGCTCGACGCCTGCAGACCTTCCTAGAGGAGTAACGTCGTGACCCACAAGTGGCGAAGACAGAGCTATACGTCGCCATGAATTGTTCATGAAAAGATTCCTTGTAAAGTTGCTTCACAAAACCACAACGCAAGTTTCCCTGTAATTTGCCTTATGTACCTAGGTGTATATATAACTGTCTCTTTAAACTGCATTAAATATTTTTGTAACTCAAAAAAAGCGATTTTTAGTCCCCCCCCCCCTCAGGTAAATATGCTAAACAAATTTCATTCTTTTGGCGGTTTAATTTGAAATGTGTTGCGTTTCCCCGTTGAAGGTGATATGCAATAAGCTCGCTATATGCAAGGTCCGTCAACACAGCTGCATGTTTGCCCAGTCAAGGCAAGTCGAATTTAATTGAATTACAAATTGTTGCCGTTTTAGCTCTCCGTGATAAACCTTGCCTCTCTTTCTATAGAGAAACTGGTGCCCATAAAACACGCCGTCGTCCATCGAACAGCATAACCTTATAAATTAAATCACATCCCCAGTCTCGTGCTCTATCAGGTTCCCGCTCACTGCCATATAGGAGGCATACTATGAAATCAGGAGAGCGACTTCGGAATAATACTAATAAAATAATAATGTGATTCGAGACATTTATAGACAAAAACAGAAGCATAAAGACTACCATCCTTGCAATCACTTAATGTAGTAAGACAACATAAACAATTACTTTATATATGCGTTTAGACCAACTGCCTTCCGCTTCTTACGTTAACGACAAACTGAATAGGAAATACGTATTCTATTTACGTTTAGTTCTGTTTAACTTTGTATTTACCCTGTTACTGTCACAATAACGTTAACAGCAAAAACGCAGAAACGATACGTTGTTGTCCGTTGCAATTATACAGAAAAATGCAGATTAATAATAATCATGGGTAAACGTAATCATAGCACTATTTAGCTTTTTTGATTTTTGCATAATAATAAGGACAAATAATTTGGATTTAGGACTGCACAGAATATTACTTTTTTCGTCTCCTTTATAGCGATGTTCACCCCACGGATTAAAAGGCTGACACCAAGTCTGACAAAGTGCTAAGAATTCAACGATTTCTCGATAACTGGGCAGGGGGGGCGCAACTTCGAGAATACCCTGCGATCTACATAAGACATTTTCCATAGGAATAAGTCACCAAGGCTCGCGTGAGTTTCCATTTGCTAGGTCTGATAGACCGACCGCTCCTAGCCCTTTATGATATTGACACATTGTCACTAATCTGACTGATATAGCGAAGCTTCCTCGCTGCAACACAGCAGTTTCCAACACTCAAGTCTGTCCCCTCCACTAGACCCGTTAAAACCACGCCTACAAAGCCACACAATTGGTCCGAAAGCGTCAAAGAACCAATCAAGTGGGTCCGGCTTCTCGCAACATGCAACACATCCAAACTGTTCGGAGCCTACGGGGCACAGAGGCGTAGGGAATTTCTTGGTGCGGAGATCAAGCCTCCTCGCTGCCTTCATCGGGACTCATTTTTCTACTTTTCTGAAATGTGTGTGCGTGTTTCTGCGAAACAGAGAAAGTGTTTACATGTGCTTGAAGGTGTGTGCTAAATACGAAAGGAGAGAAATTCCACGCAATCGAAATATTTCAACACTTCACTTGCGAGGATAGAATGGGTCCGAGCATATAAATGCATTTTAAAGGAATGCCACTTGCAAGACTACAAAAGGGAACCGAAAATAACCCAAAGAAATTACCGTGATTCAACGTTTTTTCATTAAAACTGTTCAGCTGTGGACTAGCTATTATTGATGACAAACCACGCATAAAATCCTTGGAAAAAGCTTCTCCTCACAACAGTCTGTTCTGGATCATATCTGTAAGTGATCTCTCTACAAGCTTGGAATTACACAGGCGGTTTTTAGTTCTTTTCGCCAAATAATCAGATGCGTTTTGATATTGGTTGAATATTCTTGAAACTGAAACTGACGAGAAAAATGCTTAGTTAGAGCACCGCGTATTACCCTCTCAAGCGTCGATACATCTGGAATCCTTTTGCAAAGTGGATGAGCTTCCCGATGAGAGATCCAGTTATTCCAAGAACAAACATGGCATACCATCCGTTTTTACCTCACCGGAGTCCGGATTTCGCCATGAGTGCAATGCTAGGTCACCAGCCTCCATTCTTCCCGGCCCTGGCGCTGCCGCCAGCCGGTTCCCTCTCTCTGCCGGGTGCGCTGGGGAAGCCAATCATGGATCAGCTGATGGGCGCAGCCGAAAACGGCCTTCACTTCTCTTCGCTGGGGCACCAGGCTGCCGCTACCCATCTCAGGCCTCTCAAAACGTTGGAACCTGAAGAGGAGGTCGAAGATGACCCAAAAGTGCACCTAGAAGCTAAGGAACTTTGGGAACAGTTCCACAAGAGCGGAACTGAAATGGTTATCACGAAATCAGGAAGGTGAGCGAAACGTAAATGACGTATATTTTATAAATGGCCGTGTTTAGTGTATTTGTTAAAGTATTAATTGCAAGAAATAGTGAATGATAGTTAATAATAAAAAGGTTTCTTGACGGGTGGAACCACAATTTAAATAAGATCTATAGTAATAATAATAATAATAATAATAATAAATAATAAGTATCGTCATGTGCTTTGCAGAATTTTGCAGAACACACTTATTCGTTTCTAGAATTTACTATAAACAATCTACGGCGTGATGTCATGCAAATAATCTTTACAGCAGATTAAATGTATCCCAACTCAATATAAATTCATATAACGACACTTCTACTAGTTATTGTTTAACTTATTTTACGACAGAATTTGTGATTACAAGAACATAAAAGCAGGGACAATAATAGGACAGACATATCGTCTTGTACTTTTCCCTGAGTGTTCTTTGGCCTGCAGTTTTAAACGGCCTAAATTGTTATAAACGCTAATATGGAGTATATTATAAATATAATGCCGTATTTTTTCTTATATATCTTCTGTAATGTGGGTTTTTCGTAATACTGCGGACCTTGAGTTATAGGTATATACTATATCTTTTTTATTGTATTTTCTGCGAGTATCTTGGTCAGTCACTGTACCGTTGTTCAATATATTTGTGCTATATTTAAGTAGAATGACCTGTGTAAGAGATAAGAATAACATATCCACATTATTAGGCCGTGTATATGTAAATTTATTGCATCGAACGAAACATAACTCGTATAAGAGCAAAATTAAACTTGCTTAACCTATATTATTAACACGTTCACCAGGAGAATGTTCCCCCCGTTCAAAGTGAGGTGTACCGGCTTGGACAAGAAAGCTAAGTACATTTTGCTGATGGACATCGTAGCGGCCGACGACTGCAGGTATAAATTTCACAACTCGCGCTGGATGGTGGCAGGGAAGGCCGACCCCGAAATGCCAAAGAGGATGTACATTCACCCAGACAGCCCGGCCACAGGCGAGCAGTGGATGTCTAAAGTCGTCAACTTTCACAAACTTAAGCTGACGAATAATATCTCTGACAAGCATGGATTTGTAAGTTGAAAATTTTTTGTGTATTACACATATGATTTAAATGCGTTTATTCTCCTTAAATTGGCAGAACACATTGCTGCTGACTAATTGTTCACCCTTTTCACAATTTAAGCATATTACTGCTTAATTTTAAAGTACTAATTTAAAATTAATAAGTGTGAATAAAATAGGCTACACGATCGGGTCCATGAGAACCTAAATGGTTTAACATTAAGATCGACCTCATTGAATTTTATAAAATGGCCACAGATCTCCCAGATAACTATTCAAGATAGGCTAATTATCTGAAAAATAATTAAAGGCTTAAAGATAAAATGTACATCAGCGGAAATCAAACTTTGCTTTTAAATCCAGACTTGTTTCCTTTTGCAGACCATTCTGAACTCCATGCACAAATACCAGCCCAGGTTTCACATCGTACGAGCCAACGATATTCTCAAACTACCCTACAGCACATTCAGAACCTACGTGTTCCCCGAAACCGATTTCATTGCTGTAACTGCCTACCAAAATGATAAGGTACGTCTTAACATCATTAAACCATTTCGCACAATATGTTCAAGTCATGCTTTACACGGAATGCAAGTAAAATTACAGATAAGTTTTCAGTTTTATTCAAGCAATGTCGTTATCCTCATCTTTGACATATGGATATTCTATTTTTATTGGAGAATCTTTTTCTTCTAGAGACTACAGAATGCCATGTGGTGTTTTTGTCATATATTATTATTATTATTATTATTTATTAATATTATGATTATTATTATTTTACTTCAAATGAAAAGCATGGACAGTAGGTACAACAAGAATATGAAAAACGGTAATCCCGAACGGATCACTGCGATAATGTGTCTGCCGGACAATTATAATTATACGCATAATCCTAACGGAACAATGATTTAGTTAATCGCATTTGTGTCAGTGTTGGTATTCTGACATTGACTCACTTTATCGCTTTTGCACACATGCCCACGCGTGCGCGTGCACGTGAGCACACTGTCGCGAGCTTTGGAGACGTTGACAAATAGTTAATTTCACAACATACAATAACGACTGCTTGATGGAAACATGGTCTTTGTGGTGCAGGCAAGTTAGAAGAAGAATCCCGTAAATTTTGGGCGGTTCGTTTTTCTGTATCAAGTGAAATTCTCCCAAATTCAAAATGGCCTCATCACTCACACATCATTTACACATCATTGTTGTATAGGCTATAGATACGATGTATATTTAAAAATGGAATTATACTTTAAGGCACCAGAAATAAACATTAAAAATTACAAATTGGAAATATTTCCTCACAAAGAAAACGACGTCAATACTGTTTCATATTTGCCAAAAAACCCCAAGAAATATGATGAATTACATGAAGCATTTAATAAACCATACCCGAAAATCACCATATATAAATTTAGACCACCACGATCAAAAATTTAAGATATGGCTGAGATTAAAATGAAAGTAATCGCGCAGTTTTCGTTTCTATTGCTCTATTGTTTTCTATAGGCCTAGCAGCATTTCACAATAAAAATTGTCAAGTTAGACACAACTTAATGTGTAGGAATCTACATGCCAATTATTACGCAACTTATTTTCCATATTTTATTTATTATTTTTAAAATGTGTTAAGTCTTTGTGCTTTAAATAGCCTAGGAAAATACCATGGTTGTTAATGAAGTGGTTATTTAGAAAAAAGTGAAAGCGAAAAAGTGACAACTTAGATTCTGAATAACATCTGTTCACCTTTATTAGTTTATCAATGACCCTTTACTGTTTGTTTTAGATCACGCAACTGAAAATCGACAATAATCCATTTGCGAAGGGGTTCCGTGACACTGGCAATGGAAGAAGAGAAAAAAGGTAAAGCGGAACCAATACGCTCATAATATGCAAGAAAATGTGCTAGAAAGCGAGGTCGTGATGGTATTTTAAACGTGACCGGTTTTATATAATGTACTTATACGTAAAATACATTCATTTATATAGTAAGTTTAGTTAGTCTATATAACGAATGTCCCTTAAATTTTTAATGTTTTGACGAAACCCTACTCTGAGTTGAAACAATATTTGATCAAGTGTATGATCTAAAAACTCTTAGTGGAGTACAGCACTAAGCGTGTGAGATTTTATCCCTCAAAAACAGAGTACAAGGAAAAATCATAAATCTCCTCTGTATGAGTACGATTGCAAAACCATACTTAAGTCCGATAATATATTTTGGAGGAGCGCGGCTTGAGGAACACGTCGTCTGGCACTGACTGAATCCAGACGCCTTCGTTTTTACTCGATTTTAGCAAACAGAAAAAGAGCGCACGCGGCATATTGGAACACTCCGAAGAAATTAACACTTAGAATTGAACATGTCACCTTGATTTAAACTTGACCAGTTTCACCAGTATTTATTAGGTCAGTTGATTGAGTTGATTTTGAGTATAACTTATTTCGTTGTTCAGATGTAGGCTACCCGTGGACTGCCGACGTTAACCAATTCGTTTGCGAATGTGTACATTTAATTACAAAGCACCATAGGTATTATGGTGGTTTTCTTTAAACTTACGTTTATATGAACATCTCGTTATCTCGTGTTCTGAAACGATAAATGTGGAAGTGGGCTCCTTACTTGAGCTAGTTTAAGGTAAAAATGGTCCATTTCACAGAAACATTTTCAAAACCATGAATTATCTTAAGCGGATTTGTAAATAAGTGACACATAAAATATATTGGTTTTCAAATGTAATATCTCGCAGATCGAATAAATCGAGTGATGCTGCTTTACTTGCGATTCGTAATATTCTTGCCGTTACTTATTCTTGAAATTGACTCAAAATGGTAACAGGAATGGCTGTCGAATACACAAGTCAATATTATACTCATTGTTGGAAGTCGTTTGATTTCGTCCAATCAGATTATTTACTTTTTAAAATATCAGTAATTTACAAATTAAGTTTTTCTGTGCATATTAAAATTACAAGGAAAAACACAAGATTATCATTCAAGTTAAGTACGGTTACTTAATGATAGAACATCTTATTTATATCTACAGGAAGCAATTAGCTCTGCAGTCTATTAGATCTTACGAGGAGCAACAGAAAAAGGAAGTAGGAACGTCGGACGACTCTTCGGGGGAACAAGTTGCAGCGGTGTCCACCGTAGGACCACCGAGTATTAAAGGTAAACCATTAGATTTTCCTATTATCATATTAAATAGAAATTAGTGGAAATATGGAGTTACAGACATAGCATGTGATTTGTTTACCCGCTGCACAGTAAGATTTTTAAATATTATTTTAAAATGTAATTTCGGCTTAAAAACGATTGCGATAAATTCAATTAAAATGGTACATTTGGTTTTTTTTTTTTACGTGTTTCCCGTATGTTTCCTTATGGTTTCGTTCTGGAATTTGGCATGTGCACATGCAGATTGGTTGATTTAAGGTTTTGAGCTTCTCCAAAATAAGAGATTTAAATATTTCACAAAAAATGTTCATCTTGGAAACAAACACACTGTATATAATTTTAATAATGCCATAAGCTGAACTTACTGCATTTATGCACTACTTGTGTTATTGCCAATTTGTGTTTATAAACATATTGTTGTGAGCTTTAACATAAGTATTTTTATTTTCTTCCAGATTTCTGTGAGAGTGATGATGACAGCGACGATGGGAGCAAAGATGGAAACTTACACGATGGACAGGAATCTGGGAAAATATCTACCAGCACAGAGAATGCGAAGGAGCATGTGTCAAGCCCTACCAAAGATCACCTGTTTGCCAACAATGACTCCACAAGTCTCGTGGGAGAGGAGACCACGAGGACTGTGAAAAGCCCTGCAGACTCCAGGCAAAGTCCCGTCACCATCATCTCCAGCACTACAAGCTCTGGTGATGACTTCAAGACTTCAGTGCGCGATCCACCAAAAATAGACGAATGCCGATCCCTGAGTAAGGAAAAATACACACCACTGACTGTTCAGACGGACTGTAGCCCACATTTAAACCAAGGCCACTTGCATAATTTTGGATTTCCACCAGGTCTTAGCGGCCAGCAGTTTTTTAACCATTTGGGTGGTACCCATCCTTTCCTTCTGCATCCCAGTCAGTTCAACATCGGAAGTGCTTTTTCCAACATGGCCGCTGCTGGCATGGTCCCTTTACTAGCCGCGGTGTCCTCAGGTGGGGTTAACACCATTGACACAACCAGTATCTCGTCGTCCCCTCCGGGCCTAACAGGATCTTCAGGACTGCCTTTTCATTTACAGCAACAAGTTTTGGCATCACAGGTAAAACCAGTTTCATTCACCTAATTAATGACTACTACAAACATTATTTTGTTTGGTTGTTTGTTGGATTTAAGTAATGTGCCTGAATGGAAATTTATATAACATTGCTTTGGATTTTGTGACATAGAATAGATATTTAATTAAATGGTCTTTCCTGTATAATTTTATGTTACTCCAGTAAATGATTCGCAGAAAAAGATTAGTTTATAAAAGTTTCCAAACTGTTCATCTAAGTTTAAAAAGCAATGATATACATGTTAAAACAATCAGTTTCCAAACTGTTCATCTAAGTTTCAAAAGCAATGATATACATGTTAAAACAATCAGTAGATTTGGAAAAAAAAATAAAAAACTAGTACATGCAATATGACCACTGAATAAGTAAATTGTTTAAGAGATAAGTTTCATTAAACAGGTTGTAACTGCTTGTTCTAAATGCACTATAATGATACTTTAAATTCAAAAGGGTTTGGTAACACAAACAGAATTCTAACCCATGCTCATGTACAAGAAAATGAAGCTAACAATGCTTTTTAATGTGCTGTTTATTGAATTATTCTTATAAGGCTAATCTGCAAAATGATTAGCTTTAGCTTAACAAGAATATTCACACACTTAAGCGCAGCTGATTTTGAAATTAAGAAAAGGATCTTGTTTATATATTGTAGAAATTAACTGTGTAACATGAAAGAAAAATATTTACTTTAAAAAAATGGCATATGTTCCGTATAAGGAATACTTAAGTATAAATTATTTAAGCATATAAAAGGTGTTTACTGGCATGCTCCCATGCCATTGTAACTGTACAACTCCATGTCATGCCTCTAACTTGCCTAAAATATAAGCACCATTTTAGTAAGGGCATATTACATTCTGTCAGTATGAATATTAAGATTTCTTGGAACTTTTACAGATGAGGTGTTGAGACAGGAAATGGAATGAAAATGGCAACAGACAAATATTAGGGTTGTGTTAGAGAATGCCAGCCAATCAGCAGCTTGGGGCCTGATGTTAATGTCCTCCCCCCATTCACTTCACCTGCAGAGCCTGGCCATGTCTCCATTCGGCAGTCTTTTCCCATACCCCTACACCTATATGGCAGCAGCTGCGGCAGCCTCTTCTGCAGCCTCATCCTCGGTCCACCGGCACCCCTTTCTGAGCGCCATGCGCCCTCGCCTCAGGTACAGCCCCTACCAGCTCCCCCTTGGTGTGCCGGACAGCTCCCCACACACACCAGGCCTGATCCCTATGGACAGTAGCACCATGGAGCTGAAGGGCAACAGCATGGCGGCTAGCCCGGCACTGACGACGCTGGACTCTGCGTCAGAGGCCAACGGCAGGTCATCAGCCTTGTCATCTGGCTCCGTCTCCCTGTCTCCAAAGACTTGTCCCACAAAGGACTCCACCAGTGAGTTGCAGAGCATCCAGCGTCTGGTGAGCGGACTGGATTCGAAACAAAGCAGGCCCCGGAGTTTATCCCCATAGAGTGCAGCATGACAGAACGAAACAAGACTGCCAATCGGCAATATCTTTAATGCTGGCGATGTTAAGAATTACGTGAAAGATGATGCTGATGTGATAGTGGTGATTAGGATGATTATAATATCTGTCTAGCAAATGCGGGTGTGGATTGCAGACCTATGGACCTGTTTCGATTTTTAAAATGCACTTTGTTTGTAAAGAACTGATAACTCTATTTCTGTCACGTTAAAACTGAAGAACTTTGAACTTGTTGTTTATTTGACTACCACGCAAGTATTGAAACTGAAAGGATACTGAGAATTAGAACCATAAACCGATTAAGCTGCTGCTACGTCCTATCTATATTTTATATGCCAAGTCGCTGGGCTAAAAATTTAATACATACCCTGAAGTGGTGAGAATTGTTTTAAGTATATACCTATACAGAAGTATACAGTCTGATATGGTTGATAAATTTAATGAAGTCCTGTGTGCGAGATGAGAAGAGATTTTGCATGCTCCACAATCTGCAAACCTCTGAATGATCCTTATATGTTGGTTCAGTTCAGGGGAATTTTTAATTTAAATTCTTTTAAGATAAGCAAAATAAAAATGATAGGTGTGTATTTCAAAACATTATAAAACTAACCTAAAAGCAAACATAAAAGTAATTTGATCCCCCTTACAATCAGTTCAAATCACCAAACCTTTAATTTCAAAGAAAAGGGAACAGGAAAAAGAAAGCATAAAAAAACTACAGTAACATGGACTATAAATGTAAATATATATTATATATCAAAATATTTATGTAATTATTTGGTATTAAGTGTAAATATAATGGGTTAGAAGTCTGAGGTTCATAATTTCTTTAATTTATTGTTGATACACTTGTTTAATGGTGTGTTTCAGTCATCTTCATTTCACCCATAGTTACCTGTGTGCTGACCACTGCTTATGCCTCACCTTCAGCCTCCGGTTGTCTAAGCAGACCTGAACATGTGCCATCCTTTTATCTTTAATGGAGTTTAAAGTGCTATCGTCAAGCAAGCTGACAACACAGTGCATCAGTTTACTTGAAAAAAAAAATCTTTAACCATTTATCTTTTTAGTGTGTGTCAAGACCTAAACAAATTTTCTTAAAACATGTTGCAGCTTGGAAGTAAAATTGCTGAATATTTTTTATTGTATAAAAGTTTAATGTGTTAAAGTTGTCCTTTGGGTTCTGTAGTACTCAATATTTTGATTGGTTTAGTTGACATCATTGAAAATGTTTCTTGAAGGTTTCAATAAACTATTGAACATTGCATTTATTTTTCTCACTGATTACATCCCAGAGGCAGTTAATACTTTGCACATCCAAAGACCAGTTTTGTCATAAAGGCCCTGTTAAAATAACAAGCATAAACTATCAGCTGACATTCTTGGAACTGTGCTGATGACAGCAGTGGTTATAAGCAGGACTATTTTTAAATTAAGGAGGACTGCTTTCTTCCTTATTTTATATTGAGAACAAAGAGTGGCCAATTAATGACCAATATGAGATAAAACGATAACTATGCAATTATGATATTACTATGGATGAAGGCAAAGCCATTAAGGCTGTCCCAGGTCGAATCATTCTGTCAGGTGAGTATGCAAATTTTCTTCAGGGAAACTAGCTGAGGATGACCATTTTAGAAATATGTGAAAGGTTACAATTTTTAATCGCTATTAAACGTAATGCGCAACCTGGAATTCTATAAGCAAGGACATTTTTCAGACGCTTAGTCATTTCAATTGTTTGTAGCTGAATAATGGAAACGGATATGAAGAGATTCAAAATGTAAAAATCATCTTTAATGCCTAGTTGGTTTCGTCTGGAGTCATTTGTTTATCAACAGTAAATCTTTATTTGTATCTTGTATGTTAATGTGTAACAGTTGCGGCGCTAGACTGGGGAGGAGAAGTAAACACGACACAATCTCGATTGCTCTTTCTATTGCTCACCTGGCGCCTTAGATGATATCTCAGTGGATTTTATTACACGGAAGGCGACTAGGGGTCTGCAGGAGTGTACGCTACACTCACAGCGGTAAGTTTGACTGATCGCCGCCCAGAGGATATAGGACAAAAAACAAAATTGCACACTGCACTACAGAGCTTGGGGGTGGGGTTGAAACTGGCTAAGGATAGTATATCGTAAAAGAATTTAATATTTCCGATAATTCGGGCACATTGTAAAGAATATAATGTTTTTCTCCCTCCTATTGCCGCCAGACGCATTTCTTTGGATGGAAACTGCGCCGCTTCTAGACGCATAATCACACCGACCTTTAAAACAAGATCGACGATGTCAATTCAACATTTGTAAATTCTTTGAAAAATACAGTTTTTCTTGTTAATTAGTGACGAACGTTCATTGCATAATTTTGAAAATGCACTTGAAAATCCGTGAATCAGTTGAGATTTGGGGATTTTTTCGCAGTCAAACCCCGATTTATTGAACTGTTTCAATTAAGGCGCATTAATTGTCATTTCAATGCTTTATCATACTAGAATGCCATTGGCAATAATTATTCTCATATTATATTTTAATTATACAGAATACTATACATTATTGCATTATTTCATAAAAAGGATGGGTTTATCCTGGTGTAAGTACAACGCATAAATAATTAAATGGTAATTTTTCTGAAATATACTTTTCACCTGGCGCAGTTTTCGATAATAATGTGATGTAGACTAATAATATCGGTCATTTATTGTCTCCTTTTGTTTGTTTGTGGCCCTTGTATATTTTACTGTAATAATATAATACGCAGAGAGATTTGAACGTCACTACATGATTATAAAAATAATCATTTCCAAAAGACTTTACAACACTGCGTAACACACCGTCAATTTATTTTTATACTGTAACAAAGCTTTTTCGCCAAGAATGACAAAGCATACCAACGACTAATTTATCGGTTAAAAAAGTTAAAACTTTTAAAAGTTAAAATTTTCTCATATCGAAGGCTGCACGCCTATAGTCAAGACGGAGAGTTTTACATAAAGAAATTAAAAATGTAAAAATGGCGATACATAAGAAAACTGACAAGTATCCTAAGTGTTACTCGAAAAACGAATTTTGTGTTACGTTATATTATCCGCAAATGGAACATTTCAGATACGCAACATCCAATCCAAAAATATGAAAACGAATATTATCATCAGTATTACCAATAATAATAATAATAATAATAATAATAATAATAATAAGAAGAAGAAGAACAACAACAACAACAACAGATCTTTAAGGCAGAAGCGTTATAGCGAGTTTTAAAAATAATAGACCAATAGCTTCATGAAAATATATGCCAGTTCAAAATGTTTCACTATAAATAATATTGCAGATTATCATATTTTTAAAAAGAGCTACGAACAGGCCCTGGAAAAAGTAATCTCATTGTAGAATTTCGAAACTAAATTAAATTTGTAACCGAATTGTCATCATGCAAGATTAATGTAATTTGCAGTAATATATACCTAACAGCCCACATTTTTACATACGTCAGTAAATGTAACTAAACACACATTAAAAAATACCCATATACAACCAATGAAATAAAGGCAAAACGAATATTACAAAACAATATCACAACCATCTCTTACGTTAGAAGCCCTGACAACATATAGGCTGAGAAGCACAGTATGAATGAACTGCTATCAAAGCGTCAGTCAAGCAACTAAAAAGAACAGAGGGAGGACTACACGGAAATAAGGAGAGAGAACTTCTCTCTGGAGTCTGCTGTGCTTCGATGTGTCCAGGCTACCTTCGAGGTTCTGATTTATATACATTTCTGATGACAGCCTACTGATGAGCTTCGTCTATTTCTCGAAAAAGTTTTCTTTTTCACCGAAATGACAATTGACTTGACGATTAATTTCAATCGGTTTTGTAAAACGCACACCTTCGGGTTGGTAAAAACACATGCTTTATTTCCTAATTTTGCTTACACATCAGTTAAAGTAATACGTACAGAAATGTTACAAGTGAACGATCTCGCGCAGTCGTTATTGAATAGGCCTCATCGCAGACTAAGCACGAACAAAGCTTTGGCGCGTGGCTTTAGCGCCTCCCTGTGTTAACAGGTCTGCTGTGCTGCTGGTCCTTCTGGTAAACAGTGTCAACTGAAACGTTTGTTCGCATAACGCAACATTTTTATCTTAAGCACTATCCATGTAAAATGTATAATTCAGCTGAAAGTACATATTATAGCAAAAACGGGCACATTTTTCCCTTTCACATACTAAATATCTTCATGGGATTTGAAAGTAGCTATGAAAGTCAAAAGACTAGTGCGTGTTTTCTTTAAATATTTCTAATTTCTCCCTTTTTTCTTTTGTTATGTCACCCAGGTAAATGAGATTAGGTACTGGAAACACATTTTACACCACACTTATCAACATCGTGGGCCTTTAATAAACAGGTTAGGACCTGTCACTTAGGTTCAGTTTTTACTGGCAAGTGTATAATCACTGGCAGTTCTTGAATATTAAATGCTCAGGGTCATCCATAACCATGCTGAGTGAGTGAAAGGGTTTGTAATCAACAAAGAAAGACAGACATGGATTAATGTTTAACGTTTGAATTCATGATGAGTGGTTTCATATATGCCCCAGGTTTAGAGATAAGAAAATAAACATGAATTAACTTAAAATCATCTTAAAATACAGACACAGAAACTTTAGTTCTGTGTAAAACAATGGCATAATCATTTAAAAAATTGTGTTCAGTCATTTGGGTTTCAACGTATAATGACATCATAACATTATATATATGTTTATATATGTTTCTTCTATCAAAAAAAGTAAAAAGGCTGATTCAAGAAATGTTACCATTGTCATTTTCCGGAAGGAGCCAAGGAACCAGTGTGGGAAAAGTTGAGGAAGTATGAAGAGAATAGAAAGAGGAAAGACACGGAGAGGGAGGGACCGACTTGTCAAATATTATTAAGAAAAAAAAACTGTGTAAGATGAAACCTTTGGCGGGAAATGATTCCTTTTTTCATTATTTGTTAAAAAAATTCAGAAGCGGAAAAGAGTACAAAGTTGTCCTGCTGGGCCCCCGTGAGGCATTTTAGTTTTAAGAGGACCCCCAGTCACAGGCTGTATACAGTGGAAAACAGCACAGCTTTGAACAATCTGAGCAAATACACAAAGTCCAGGAAGGAGTTCCTGAAAACGCTAAAGCTCCTGAGCCACAAAACCAAAATACGGCACCAGGTTGCTTTAAGCACTAGCACTATGGGCCAGAGTACAGATTTACATCTGAACAGCTCTGCGAGCAGCCAGGTGATAAATACGTACGTTAGGGTTAGGTTTAAGGTTAGGGTACGCTGCTGTACGAGACTCCACCCCCCCCAAGAGGCAGGTCATCTCAAACCAGCCCCAGTTGGCCCCTGACTAATGACCGCTAACCCTCACTAATCAGGATGAAGAGAACTTGGTACCAGAGGCAGTCAGTATGACGACAGAGACAGAATTGTGGGGAGCTGCTCAGCCTCCACCTGCACGCTGCTCAGTTTTGGTTTATTTCTGGAGTTTCTTCAGTTTTTTTCCCCTTTGTTACAATCCCTTTAAAAGGCCCTCAGCACCTTTCTGTGTAGTAAACCATGGTTTGTTACCCCAGCTGTCTTGACCATCGAGGCGTCTGCCAAACTGTCCCCCAAACATGCTATGAATATCTCAGAACAAAGGGCAAAGATAGTATCAAGCTAAGCAAGCCGTGACAAAGCAAAGATGCACTAGCCAAGCCACTAAGCTTGTTGAACATACTCTATGGTCAGACTTGGAGCTGTGCTGCATTTGCGCCCTCTAGTGAGTAT